AGCTCCCCGAAAATGTGAATCCTTCATCTAGAACTAAACAAGAAAATTCCGTGTAGAAGTAGTTTTCTCAGAAGGTAATTTAAACGAATCACTAGCCACAGAGTTGATGTTTACAGTAGCATTAAAGTAACTTCCAGGCGAATAAACTTTTAGAACTTCAGATTTGTGATGCAAAAAAAGCGAGTATACTCAAAACCATAGCACACGGTCGCCATGGAAACCTTAAGCACTGAATTCATATGATCATGCAAGACAATCTCTGTAAATTATCTTATTTGTCAGTTGATATATACACTCTTTTTTTAATAAGAACCTTCGTCATAAACACGTTCAGGCTGAGATGAACTAAAATTTTAAGAGCGTACTAAGAATCTACCAAAGCTCAGAGTCAGTTGAGAAAGATTTTATTTTGGCTTTTTTTTGTGAGAAGTATAAATAAAGGTAAAGCATATAAGACTCTGGTCTATCAGGACAACTAACTCAAATAATAAGGGACTTTTTTTAGATTGACTTAATGAAATAATATAGCACACAACTTCAAGAACATATTAAGAACATTTTCAGGCTCTAATCGCAACTGAAAATAAGAACGTTCATCCTCAGCCCCAAAATTAGATGTTATAAAAAAGAGTATTAAAAAAACAGCTTTCCGATTAAGGACCTGGTTTGACGCCAAATGATATGATATAGTTAGTATCTCTAAACATTTGATTAAAAACTTGATGGTGTAGAGCTCATTTTGCTGCAAGACGTCTACCAACTTACCTTATGAATTAGAGGGCGGGCTTTTTCCAAACTATATTTGTCACGGATATAAGTGGAAGTTACCTTGATCAAGGTCTATCGTTGCGAAGTTATGACAAATTATAACGAGGAAAAACGGTAACGGGTTTACGAATTCAGATAGGAGAAATAACAGACAGCTATAATCTTTCTCGTCACAAATTATGACTTGTTCGGTTGCTTAATAAATGATACGGGCTCTTTGGGTCTTGAGATATTCGTAAGAGCTCTTCACTCGCCATTGTCAAAATGGTGACATGAGAACCGATTTGTTTACATTACCGCAGCTATTTCTAAAACATTATTTCAAACAAGGGTTCACGGATGGCACCTTAATAATGCTGTATTTTTAATATCTTTACTTCACCTGAGAAATCTTATCATAACAGAACTTGCTAGTTAGAAATTTAAAACAAATAGTGTTATCAATGCACATAGACATAAGAAAACACTATTGTTCCAAATTTTGCTGCTAAAGATGACTTTTTTAGGATGCCAATAAGAAAAAGACTCCTACGCCACCCTCATAACCCATATGTTTGTTTGCTCATGCTAATTGAACCAATACATGTCTTTTCCGCGCGCTTATTTCGATTTGTACTGACTGACTGGTTGGCTCGGAAGGGAATTGAAAGTGCTACAGGAATTATCCTCCGATAGAGAGGAAATATCGAAATATTCGAGCCTTCGTGTGCAACTTACTCTACATGAAAGAAGCAAAGGTCTGATAACGGAAACTGATCCTAGCAATACGAAGAAGTCGAAAGATCCTCATCCAAATGTTTCATTTCTCTGAATAACGATTGATGAAGTGTGGTTCGAGTCATACTGTCAACAGTTTACGAAATGGCGCATTCAGTAACAAAACATAATAAGATAATCCAAGTCTAAAGATCGTAAATATATGTATACTCAGTCCTGTGATCAAATTCAAGAACATCACTTTTTGGTTCCTTATGTTTGTAACCATAAAATCCTTGAGGTTCCTTTTGTTGAGCTATTTAACCTCCCGTCAATTTTTATTTTCAGCCCAAAGGTTGATTTATAAGTGAGATTGTCCTGTCATCATTGTGTTACTTGTTATAGGGTGTTATAATGATATCTGAAATTCATAATTTATTCCCGAGCTAAATTCGTTATATCATTTCAACGTCATAATGTTTTATCTTTTCTGTGTTTACAAATATGATGTCAACTCGAAGTAGTCTTCGTTGCCTCTCATTTACTAGATAAGCTTACCCATCTCCAACCTAGCTCGGTGTGATAGGTCAAAACAAAGGATGTTGTCTTCCCACACATTGAGTTGTTTGGGAGGTAGCCGTGTATACATTTTTGCAAGAGCAACTAGCCAATTTAGCCTCAAAATCAACATCAAGAAGACAGAATGCCTTTACCAACCGCTAAAGTTCCACTGAGTTATCAACATCACTACCGGAAGAGATCGGCATTAGTGGTACAAATACAACTAGACAAGCGTAAGACTTTCAAGTACCCTTGGACTGTCTACAGGGCGCAGGCACAGAAACTTCACGCATACAGACACCTGCAAGCCACCATGAAAATCGCATAGATAGACAAGATAACCAACATATCAGTGCTGGATCGAGCTGGCCTACCATCAATGATTGTCAATGGAGGTCATGCTAATGCAGATGAACCTGAGATGGCTCAGTCATGTTGAGAGGATGGATCACCAGCGTCTCCCCAAGCAGCTACTCCATTCACAGTTATGCGAGGGCAAACGCAATCAGGGTATACCAAGGCTGAGATTCAAAGACACTGTAAAAAAGAAACTTGAAGAAGTTGGATATCGACAGGAGTTTCTGGCAGCAGAAAGCGAAGGACAGAGCTGCGTGGAGGAATCTGACCAGACCTAAGTGAAATAGTCATTATCGCCCCCGACAGACTGCTATGATGATGAGCGTTACACAAATTTGACAGCCCAGTTCAGATTTATCCTGATAAAGGATTCATTTAACTTCATTGCACTGAATCTTTATAAAACGTCTCCTGCTTTTGAATATCCTTATTTCTGAAGTTTGGTTTTCACTCTACCAGCCGCTTGAAAATACTTGGGAATAACAGATCTACCGTAAACAGAGTAACACCATATTTTAGTATGTCCACGTACATACCGCGTCACGCACGGAAGCATTAACAAAAATACAGTGTAATACCTCATTGAAGAGTGTTGAATTACAACAAAGAAGCAAGCTTCTTGTTTGGCGCAAAACATCACACATCTGGTTGTTCGATATTTCAGCGCGTAATCTCACTTTTTCCGATTTTGTATAATGTTTTTAGGAAGTTTAACGCCTGATCTCCTGAATCTATATTTCAATATAAATCAGTAAGCCAAGAAAAACCCGAAACATAAATATTGCACTGAATCTTTATAACGATCAACTGATAACTTTTCCTAATATCTAGTTTTGAATAAGTTCGTATTAGATGATGAATAAGTTTAGTTTTACTCAGTCCTCAATGGGGAATCTCCCTTTTTCATCCACTGACGCACTTTCAGTTCTGATAAGGTGTTAGTCACGAGATAAGGTCAATCAAAAAGGTTTATTTTTGGAGGTATGCCAGTAAAAATTTAGATGGCTTGAAACACTGCTGAATCCCACGTAAAGAATGAGGATCTCCTTTCATACACGGGATCGACAACCAGTTAAGCTAATCAGTCGAAAAATTTTTTTCCCCAGTAGCAATAGATCATAAATGGAACATTTTGAGTTCGATCACGAATAGAAGAAAATATATAAATCCCCTCGAAGAATCGAACCCCAGACCTTATGTTTGAGTAGGTTTCCGTGCTTCGATACTCCAACACTAAACTCTTAAGTTTGCTATCACATAAAAACTTTCACTTTGTCAGTGAACTTACTTAGTTAATAAATTTTTTACTTCTTATTTAGCCATACTAGTGATACTGACACTGATGAAGCCCTGAAATAATTCAAAGACTACAAACAGGATATGTTTAACTGGATAATGAATGTTTTTTTCGTTTCTGCAAGACCATGAAAATTAAGTCCACCAAAGCTGCAAATGCATGCTTCCACCCTTCAATGGCCTACTTTCGCAGAACACATAAATGACCCTGCTTATCCAAAGGAATAGTTAAATAATAATATTGTTCTTGAAAAACGAACTGTCGAAAACACTTATTAAAGTTCCATCCTATCTATCCTTTTGAACATGATCCTGGATTAAGGTGTAGGAACTGAATAACTAAGTGATTAGTTAAGGTTTTTAAAATTTTCCAACAGAGAATTATTTTCCGGGTCGTCAAATCTAGTAAACTTTCGAGTTTTTTACTTTGATTGTTCGGCTGAAACCAGTTTCAGCAAACAATGCCCACTGAAACATTATCCTTCTCTTATCTCGAAATAAAACAGTGCTAATTGACTTGTCGCCTTCAACTAGAGGACACAAAGAACGATCGATATTCGATAATTAACCCCGAAAAGAAAAATAAGAGACAATCAGGAAAAAGAGGAAGAAGCAACAACAGTCACTAATCTCTACACAAACATAAACAAACAGAAAAAAGATAGGTGTACACTGTTAGACTTGTATCGAATAATAATCAAAAAAGTAATCTTGGGTATGCTCTTCCGAAGGGGTAACCTTGACATGTCATGAATTCTTCCAATGTATCGTCAACAGCCATTGATCAGGTAATCCCCATTTAAATTTCCGCATTATTTTAGTCATACATTTGGATTGTATGGTCCATAACAACCCGGAAATATACTGGATTGAGAGGAACGTATACTGAATTAAGAGAGAGACGCCCACAAAACAGGAAAAGTGACTATGATCCTTTAGCTCCATTTAAATTCCAAAATTGCCCACGATTTTGCCAATTCTGAGTTAATATTGCTATTACTGAGGTTCATCGCTTTTAACTACCTATCGGGAAATTCGTTTTTTTCGGAATTCTAAACAACATTCAATGAACATAGGCAAAAAGAAACGTGTAAGCAATGCTGAAAATTGCAACTACAAAAGTAGCATGTTTGATCACATGAAGGAATAACCACAAGGGAAAGTACATAATTTTACATAAGTAAACAAGCCTATTAAGGTAAAAATTACCTTAGGTACGGTTTTTTCGGATTAGATTTCGAAACAAAAAGAGAAAAATCAACATTACATTTAATCTAAATTTAGGGGAAAGTTTTTCCTTTTTGGTCACAGTACATAAAAGCCATCACAACAGCTAATTGTAGCAAGATCCACTGCATGAAAATCATACCTTGGATACAACTTGAGAGACTTTTCCTCGGATACAGGCACAACATCAGTAGAGGAGCAAAATAATGGCAAAAATTATTCTTAAGGTTGGTTGATCGGTCATTAAGAGAAGGTTTCTTCGGCGTTCTCTTTTCTGTTTTAATTCAGTAAATAATAACGATTTGTCAATCACAGTTATCAATCCTTCTTCATACAAGACTACTGACAAAACTTTCTCGTGCCTTGAAGAAAACTAGTTCTTAACGACGATCTTAAGAAAAAACTTCGTTAGGGAAAAAAGTGCGTTCTCCCGTTCTCCCGTTCTCTCGTGGCATAGAATGACGCAGCATAGATTGAGCTTAGAACTCTCTGATTTCAAACACGGCGTCAATTGGAGATGTTCATCAGTTTATTGACTAATCAAAGTGTGTATCTGCTCTCGAGGAAGTATGCGCAATTAAGTTGATCTGCCGACGGGTAAAACATGGTAAGTGCTATAAATATCAACACGTGGTCAATGAAGTGATAAAAAGATTATGGATCACGAGCGATACCGACACCACTATCTTTATCTATAGTTGCGTCTAAGACTGTGTAAGAACGTTAATTGCAGTATATAGAGCTCAGCGTCGCTGAAGCATTACCTGAGAGCTTTGAGACCACCTGTCAGAGTTTTTTTGTTATTGTGTTTACACATTTTGAGATGCTTCGTCAATTATTTTAAAAGCGAAAAACCTTACGTGGAAAGGGAAAATTTCAGACAAAAATCTTATGGCTTTTTCCTACAGGTTGCTGTTTACTTCTTGGTACATTATTTTCTTTTTTCTGGAGTACGTTCAAGGTCTGTTCACGTCGATCAATCATCGCATAGACGAACATACAGCAATGGTTTGATTGGACCCTCGAATCAAAATATATCCGAAGATTTAAAAGATAATTCAACGACAGAATTAATTCAGAGCGAAGCTAATGATGGTCACGTAAATTTTGCCTCAGTACTGCAACTGCGACTCAAACGAACTTCGCTTTCTTGCGTGGAAACCCGAAGACTTGAGTGGAACAACTGCTTAGGAAGGTACTTCTCCAAAATTAAATGCAAAATTATGAGTGTCGCTTGTTTGTCGGCAAACAATGTCCCACCAAAGTGTATGGAACAATTTGAGATACTTCCCGGTAGGAATGGCCGACCTTGTAAGGTACTTAAAAGCTGCTCGTGTGCAGCCTAATATCATAGGATGTACATAGTTATAGCTGTAAATATTATTTAACGCTCATTTTATCTATGTTGTCCCCGAAGACACAGAACGAGTTTTGTTTGTATGACTTCTCTAGGCAGGTTTCTTACGATAAGGTTTTGCCGGATTAAGCAAAAATCACAATTCCAGAGAGGAATTGGCCTTCGGCTTACTGCTTTATTTAATAATGCACTCGAATAAGGTAAATTGTAGCCAGCTCAACCAGGTCTAGTTACTAAATATTTAATGCTGTGAGATAAGTTACGTAAAGTAAAAAAAAAACAAATAAAGTATCAATCTCTAGAGGCTTGGATAACTCTATAACAACATCCCTCCTCACGAAATCAACCAAAAAATACAGCGAATGTTAGGGACTTGAAAAGAAGGCCAAAACAATTTTATATTGATCGAGCATATCACCGGATAATTTTAGCACTTAAGTCGATAATCTTGGTCTTCTCATGATGAAAAAGATGGCTTTCGAATCAAAATATGTTACTGCTGGCGAAGATTTTCCACAAAGACGAAGACGCCTTCGTTGTTTTCCTGCAAAAGTTTTGTTCCCACCAAAATTGAAACCTTCTTTGATCCATCCCGGGAGAAGAAAGGCTCAGGGCGAAATGGGATCTATTTAATTTTCGCATTTAAATTAAGACAATTTTTTCGAGTGGAATTTTGATCGAGTGGTTTTCGAGAGGATAAAATGGTACAAAAATTCTAGGTTTAACTGAAGTGCAATTTTCTCGTGACATCGAAAATGGGAATATTGGCTTGAAATGTATAATAATGTTTTAACCATTCGAGTCAGAATTAATGCTCCTTCCTTCAGTGTAAACCAAACACAGTGTTATTCAGTCGGCAAATTATGAATCATGAAATTAGTCGCGTAGCAAAGACCAATCAAGTATTATGCAGGTTTCACTGGTTGGTTACCGTACCATCGCTTTTTTATGCCCTGTTACGAACGGTATTTTGCAGGCCCTCTTAACATCAAAACTGTCATTTCTTTCTCTAAAATGAAGCAAGTG